GTATTACCTATAGTCCACAAAAAGCTAAAAAATATATACGCCACCACATATTCCCTGTCCTATAGCATCATTGTGCCGTGCAATTTCGTTTCTGTTTCGCATTGTTGAGTTTGTGCCCTAGGTCAAGTTCTGGTTGCTGGTTTTAGATCGTTTTGAGTCCAGTTTGTATTTTTTCCTTTGTTTCTCATCATAATCTGTGAACACCTTCAAGTCTTGCTGTGTTTCCTTTGTATCCATCAAACCCTAGTCCACGCTATCTAATTTGTTATACTTGTCTTCACTGTTTCCATCAATTTCTTGCTGTCGTGACCACTTTTGCGCACATTGTTTCCATTTTGTCCTCTAATTCGGAGCCAATTCTTAAAACTGGTCTAGTTTTCGCATACGAACTCGGATTTCGACGTTCCATATATCAAAATCGATTAGAAAAAAATTTCGGATCCGTCCATCCCTGGACTTGTTGGGGTTCGGAAATTTTATTTTGGTCAAAAAGTGGTCACAAGATCCTCTTTTCGTGGTCACAAGGTTTTTGTCGATTTTGAGCAAGTTTTCTGAAAATTCCACAGGCCACGTCTTTCACTTGTTTAAGCTCATATTTTCTGTGGTTACTTCTTTTGTGCTCCCAAGTAAAGAAAAAATATCAAAAAAATAAAAAGAAAAAGTCAAAATTTCCCAAAAAACAACGATAGCCCAAAAAATAGAAAAAAATAGAGGGGCAAAAGAGGAACAATATCTAGAGGAGCACATAGAGAGCGCCATTTGAGTTGTGTTTGCGTGTGCTAATTTCTACCTTGTTCCTGATCATATTCTTGCTGTTCACATCACTTGATACATCTGGTACTTGGAACGTGAGTAGGCCAGCAACTAAGACAAGTACTTGGGATATTTATTCAGCTTTGCTATTCAGTTGCGACTATTGCTATTCCTTGCTACTATATTGTGCCTGTCCAAGCTCCACTTTCTTCTAACCAAGTACAGGTTCACCTTGCAACTGTTATACTCAAGCTACAACGGTATCACAGTCACCAACCGATTACACCGCCTATTGCTTTGGTAAGAACACTTGTAAGACCGTGATAAGACGCTTGAGAGTTGAGTGTCTTGTTTTTCCTTGTCCACAACCTAAGTAGTTGATAGGGATAATACTTTTGTGTTCTCTTTTGCTGTCTTCTAACAATGACAGGTTGTTCGTATCCACCGACCTATGATGGTATAGGTGCTGATGAGTACATAGAGTGGGAAATTGCCATCGATAACATATTTGCTACTCGCTTTATGTGTCCAAGAAGGAAGGTAAAAATGCAGCTAGTGTTTTGCGCCATTCTGCTTTATCTTGGTGGGAGTCTTTAGATCCTTCTGATAAACCTCAAACTTGGAATGATATGAAACATCTTATGAGAGAAAATTTTGTTAATCCATCTCTTGTAATTAATTCAAATGATGAGGTGTATAAACTAGATCAATCTCTTGTTATTCCTCCTGCTATGCCTAACCTTTTGCAGAATAATGTAAAAAAAGCGAGGATGACGTGACAGAAAAGGAGATGCTCACCGTCTCATGTGAAAATTCAGAACCATCAACTATTACTCCTGCTGAACATGAGAGTAAAGGTAATGCCGACGATGCTAAACTCATGGAAGGTGAGAGTTCTCTTGATGTGCTGAATTTTTCCACCAATCATGCTATGATAGAGCAAATTTTAGTGAAGCCTTCGCTTGATTTACCTTTGTCACAAGATGATTTGTTTGATGTTCCTTGTGACGAAGATGACTTGCATGATGATATTTATGTTATACCCATACAATCATTGAAGAATGATCATGCTATATGTGCGCTGAAATCAAACACTTGTGCTAAAAATAGACTTGTTATTCATAATGCTAGTGAAGTTGATGAGCTAAAATTGTTGTCTTTTTTAAATACTTTGGGTTACATTGAATTTGATGTTCCGTGTAATCTTAGTTCTTTAGAGGAGAAACTTTATGCATATGCTGATTTGTCATGGTTCTCTAGACATACATATCATGTTTTTGGCAAATATAACAACCAACGACAATATTTGATACAACGAATTTACATTTGTACAAATCCAAATTCTCCTTTTATTGTGCAAAGTAATGATCAACTAGAGGACAGTAAAATCAACATTGTTGTTATGCCATATTCCTCTAGTTTAGCTTTTCGAACACAAGTGGAATCCAAAGAAAGGGAGCATATGTTTCTTGTTAGTACTAATCTTTTGCAGGATAGTATTGGTAAAGATCGTGTGTATTTCAATCGAGCAGACTACATGTCTGTAGGACAAGACAAGCTACAAACCTGGACATGTGGTCATATTTTTTCTCACAACATTGTCCATTCCCATTATTTTGGAAACCTCGTTTGTCCTCATGTTGTGCAGGATCGACTTCAAACAAAATCAACGCCGAGGATAGCTTTTCGTCAAGAAAGGGAGGATGATGAGGACATAACCTCCATACATATGACCATGGTTGAAGAACCATATGGAGAACAAGGAGATCAGCGAGGGTGTCCTAAGCGAGAAGGAGGCCCGAAGCTCATCCGGTTCGAGTCACCAAGGCAGAGGCCCAAATCAAGTTCGAGTCCATCTCGGCCTCCAGGACCAATCTGTCTTAAATTGGTCACCCAGGACGCATCCGGATTCCGTTTTCGATGATCCATATATGGATGGAAAGCTAATTTAATAAGAAAGCCAATCCAAGTGGTCTCATGTCAAAAGTTGTTTGGAATAAACGGGAATCATCGAAACAAGTCAGCGTCCAGAATCTGTCAGGGTGCTGCGACATCGTATTTTGGTCTGTTGGACCATGTATCATGTTTGGGCCCATTAGGGGGCGCGTCCAGGGGGTGACGCCCAAGACTCTATAATTAGTAGTCGTCGCTCTCCTTAGGGTTTGAGTTTTGTTTAGTTCTTGATTTCCTCGTGAAACAGACATCGTTTTGCTGTAACTGTCGCCGCCAAGGCCGCTTGCTGTGAACCAGGGCCTCAGTTCTTGATCTTGTTCGCCTGTGGCGATTAGTCCTTTCGAATAAAGACTTGAACTCCTTCTCGTTATCATAAGCCTCATATTTATTTGCAATTTTAGATTGCGTTCATCCCATTCTTGCTTGTGTTCTTGATTCGCTTGCAGGAAAGCCTTCTCGGCAAGGTCAATCGCGTTCGCGTGGTTGATAACCAACGGAGCAGTTGTGTAACGGTTACGGGGGTCCAAATCAGTCTTGGTTCGAAGCCTAGATCGTGAACATCGAGTCTCCACCAATCGACACTATCATACCTTTCGAAAGATCGGGCCTAGTCTACATCAGGACCCCTGCTACGGATGGGGGCTCGAGGAAAATTGGACTCACAAGGAGACCGAACGTGCGGTCGTGGAACGACAGACCCCCGAAGGGTCCAATCATGATGAAAGGGAATTGACGTCCTCAGGACACGCCGTGGGCGACAAAAGAAGGCCAAGGCCCTTAGAGTCCTCCCGTTCGGAAAAGCCTCCGAAGGAGTATTCTACTCCTCCGCAGGCTCGGGGGCTACTGTCGGGGACCAATACTAGGGTACCCAAAGAGGAGGAGCTAATGGTCATCAACATTAATTCATTCGAGCAGTCAAGAGCGTGACTACAGCTCCACCCGGCCCTCAGGTGCGCGGGCTCCGCCTTGCCCGACCTCTGGGGAAGGGCTCCGCCTCACCCGACCCCGAGGCCACGGGCTCCACCTCACCCGATCCTTGGGTTTGCACTCCGCCTCGCCCGACCTCTGGGAGAGGGCTCCGCCTCGCCCGACCCCGAGGCGGCAGGCTCTGTCTCGCCCAACCCATGGGTTTGCGCTCTGCCTCGTCCGACCTCTAGGAGAGGGCTCCGCCTCGCTTGACCCCGAGGTTGTGGGTTCCGCCTCGTCCGACGGGGTCCCATACCTCCCCCAACCACTCTAGGTCTAGGCGTATGGGCTTGGATCAAAACTCTGACACCAGGGAAGAGATTGACACGTCTCAACATAACCCATGGCCATGACGGGCCATACCTGAGGGTTCACATCAAGAACAGCGTCGGGCGTGCCGGTGCTGTTCTGGCTAACCCTCGTACGAACGATGACAGGCGCGTCAGTTCACCACGACGTCCGCCGGGACAGGATGGAATGCCATGATCGGCGGATGACGCCTGTGTATGGCGCCAGTGACGGACAGGGCCGTGACGTGGAGCTGTCCCTGTTGACATCTATAAGGTCAGTGGGACCCATATGAAGAAGAAGAAGGACCCGGCGATCCTGGAAGCCTTTCTCTCTCTCGTTCTTCTCCTTTCCTTCCGCTGTAACCCGTACTTTCTCTTGACCTATAAAAGTGAAAGCAGGGCATCCCATGATGGGGATTTGATCCAAACCGATCGACTCATCTAGATCCGATCCAGATCAACACAAGAGCACTACACGAACACACGGCTGAGCAACAATCGAGCTCTCAGCACCCGTTCACTCCTTTCACCAGAGACTTGGGATCATTTCCCTCTCTTGTCCGTTTGTAACCCCTACTACAAATTTTCAGTGCTAGTAATACGAGCAGCAGCGACGAACTGGACGTAGGGACTTTCTGCCCGAACCAGTATAAACATCGTGTCCTCTAAACACACCATCTAAGCCAGACGCACAATATTAAAAATTTACTCGTCGGTGGTAACTCGAAACACCGGCACTAAATGACTTATTATGATTGTGTTTCATATCTCTGTGAAAAAATGACAATCTAGAACTTAATAATATGGGCTATCTTATATATTTATATAACTAAAACATTTATAAGTATTTCGTCCTCGACACCCAAAACCGATAAAACATGGACGTTGGTTTCCTGTGACAAAGCAGTGTTTCGTCGGTCTGCCTTCCCCTGCCGATCGCCCCGCGACCGCGACTCGCCCTGCGATCACTGCCGCTCGCCCCGCAATCACCGCAGTCTCTGTCGGTCTGTCTTGCCCCCGCACTCCTCACGCGGTGGCTCAAATCACGCATGCGATCCGTGGACAGGGAGGGAAGAGAGGCAGCCGCACCGTGAAGGCATTCACCTCCATCCACGGCAGCAGGAGCTCCTCATTGCGGCGGTAGCGCAGGAACGGCGGCAGGCCCACCGTGCTGTAGTCGCCGGTGTTGATGTGGTTGAGCGGGAAGGAGGATGGCGCCGCATCCACGTCCTCCTCGCCGCGCAAGCCCCATCCACGTCCTCCCGCCAGCAGTAAGGAGGATGGCGCCGCCTGGATCCGCCAGAACCCGGAAGTGACCGACGCAGCCCGGTTCTTCCCTCTCCCCGGCTGCTTCCCCTCCCAGGCGGCACCTGGATCTGCTCGCGATGGGCGCCATCCTCCGTCATCGCGCTCGGCAGCAGCAGCAGCATCTCTGCTCGCAGAGTCCGGAAGAGCTCGGTGCCGCATCTCTGCTCGCGATGAGGAAAATGTTCCCATCGTAGATGATGATGACGGTCAAAGCGATGGGCTCACATGGAGCCGGTGGTGGAGATGCGCGCTGAAGGTCGTAGCTCCCCCTGGCGGCGTCGCCCAAGGTGGGTCGGAAGCAGAGGAGGAGCTAATCGGGCGGGTGGAGGAACTAGAGGCGGCGGCGCCGCAGCTGCTCGGTGAGAAGGAGGCCCCGGAGGACACGGCGAGGCGGTGGAGGAGCTGATCTGGCGGGTGGAGGAGCTGGAGGCGGCTGCAGCACAGCTGCTCGAGGAGAAGGAGGACGCAAAGCGCGGGGGCTGCGGCAGGAGCTCGACGCCGAGCGGGCCTCCGTGGAGACGGCGGCCAGCGAGGCCATGCTCATGAATCAGCGCCTGCAGCGGGAGATGGCCGCAATGCAGATGGAGGCCCGTCAGTCTATGCCGAGGGCCGCGCCGACAAGAAGCGCGAGGTCCATGAGGACCTCGCCGCCTCTTACCACTCCCGTCTCCTGTCCCACGGCATCGACCCGGACTCGGGACTCCTTCACCAATGAGGATGAGAAATTGTAGGAGGAGGTGGGCGCCGAAGAGGTGGAGCAGATCGACATGATCGCGCTGGAGGTGGAGCCGACCGCGAATCGAGCAGTGGCATATGGAGGTGAAATCCACTGTAGTTGAGCGGAGAGCCATTGTGAAGAAAGCAGTTGTCCATGTGAGCAGTTTCTCAGTACTCAGGATTTGCAAGGTATACATTTGCTAAACATATTGGTCATTGTTATAGAGCTATTTTCTTTCTAAGTAACATTAACTTTGTTAGTTAAAGGTGCTAAGTTGGGCACATTTGGATTATTCAGGCACATTGCAGGGATTCACTTGGTAGGAAGATTTTCCTCATGTCATAAAATGGAATGTTGAAACTCTTTGCTGAACGGGAGGGGGGGGCGGAGAAGATTGTATTTCTGTTCACAGGATACTTCTCAGATTTCGACAGGTGCCTTTATTTGTTTCCTTAAATGCTAGCGTCAGCATATGTTGCGTGGTACATTAGCACCTTCATATTGGGGTTGCATATCATAAATACTGAACTTTGTTTTCGTGAAGTCAGAGCTTGAAACAGTGAAGCGCAGGTTGCTTGATCAATGTGGCATGCAGGTTGTTTGATGTGAAATCAATTTATTATATACCATGAGAAATAACTAGAGGTACCTCTATGATGTATGTAATTTGTAGATCAACTATTAGCCTATTCTTATGTGTTAATTGTCTCCTCTGTTAATTACAGGCCAAACCTAGGCCACCAAGGTTACAAGTTGAGATATATGCTTCAAATGGTTTCTACAGTCTTCCAGTGATACCAGTTTGCACGCGATCAACGCCGTGCCACGCTACCAATCATTGATGATAGAGGGCACCATGAACAGATAAGGACATGAGGCAAAGGTGACACCATCATTGTCAATGTTTCTTCAGTTTTCCAGTTGTTGCAATTTGTCATTTTTTTCCCTGAAGTTTTTGCGTCTTTCAGTGTTTTATTCAGTCGTTTTGTGTTTCATTGTTTGATTTGGTCTTTTAGACTTTTAGCGAATGATTCAAACTATTGCAAGGGCCAGTTCAATCTCAGAAAACTATTTGGTTCATTCTTTTAGTCTGAAAGTCCATGAAAAGGCACTATTCTGCATTATTTCCTAAGGCTGTTGCATGTTCGGCAACATCCCTGTCTCAGTCTCACTTATTTATTCAGTTTGTTGTAAGCAAAAATCCAAGTCTGTTGCCTCTTAGATTCAGTATTTTTGGCGACCTGCATGGATCTTAGAAGTCATGTTCTTCATGGATTGACAGTAGATACAACCGTATCAATTTCAGTTGTTGACACATATGGTTTGGTAGGTTATGGTCTTGAAAATGGCAAGGGCAAGGTGATTGTATTGGTCTTGGAAATCTCATGTCTTCCATTTTCGGCCTTGCACCATGACTACAAAAGGTTCGCATTTTAGAGTGTTCCTATAACAGCTTGATGCATTGTTGTGTGTTGCTTAAGTTCTAGATGTGTGAATACAGCTCATGCATTAATACTATCATCCTGTTCGATGCATGAATAGATTTTTGGCCCTGGATTCTCACTTGATGCAAAAAAAAAAAAAAAACTCCAGGGCACATTTGTTGCTGCTCTGTACATTGCATACACTTGATGCATCCTTAGATCATGTAGAGAGTTCTTGGATCAAGTAGCAATGTTCAGTTGAGAATGAGAACTAAAATGTCCATCGATCATGATAGCCGGATTGATTGCCCATGCTTGAGATTTTAGGCGCCGAGTCGCTCGTAACTGTACAGTGAATCTGGTGACCGTAATGAGAGAAGCTAATGTAATGTTGGCATTCATATGGCTGGGAGTGTATTTCACAAGCTTAAAAGATTCAGTCATTAATGCCCTTTCTTTTTACGTGAGTTTTGAGTACTTAAGAGAATTACCGGTGCTAAGATTCATCTATATTTTTCTTATTTTTGTTAATCTAAATTTGGAACTACCAATCAGCTTGATCGCTGGTTGGTTTCTGGGCTGATAAGCCTGGTTGGTGCTAGTTTGTTGTAAGAGAAAAACACTGTTAGCTGACTGATAAGCCCTGGTGCTAGTTTGTTGTAAGAGAAAAACACTGTTAGCTGACTGATAAGCCCTGGCTAAAACCAACGAGCGAATTTTCGTTGTTGGCAGCAACGTACCGGCAGGGTGGCTGGTGGTGGTGGTGGTGGAACTTGGAAGTGACGAGAGCAGCTGGATTAGGTGGAGGTAGGAGCAGCATTGAATTGGATAATTCAGTCGAGATGTGATTTTGGGAAGAGGAGAGGGGTGCCATTGTATTGTGTTATTATACTCCTAAAATCGTTTCCTTTCCGTTCCCGAGGAAGCAAAATTGTGCTGTGTGGGTAGAAAAGATTCTACCATTATCAAGCAACTTCTGTGCCGCCTTATGATTTCACTCACACATAAGTTTATAATAGGATAATATTGTTTAGATTGATGTAACGGTGCTAAATCCTTTATCCTGTTTGGCCAGGTCGGCTGGGCTATAATTGAAATATTAAGTCACGTTTGCTAGCAATCGCACTGTTTGCTTGAGTTTATCAACCAGGATCAGCCCTATTTTGCAGCTATGGAATAGTGTTTTTCTCTTGCAACAAATCAGTCGCAGCCGCAAATAATTCCTGCCGAACAGAGCCAAATATATTTATCTATACTCAGTGGAATTATCAATTTCAAATTTTTTTGCATGTCATAATATTTTATATATGTTTTAACAATGTGGATGTATGTCATGAATTCTACGTAAATCCGTAGCAACGCACGGCCACTTAACTAGTCGTATATAAGAATCATAACCAGTGATTTGCATTTGGGCTTAAAAGATGTGATCGGCCCATGTAGCTCTGCAAACAGAAGAAGACCAGTACTAGGCCCAGGCCCACTTCCCTCCACTGCGCCGGCGGCTCGCCTCTTCACTTCCCTTCGCCGGCGTAGGCGCGCTGAACTCTCGGGTTCCTCCTCGCAGCTGCGAATCTAGTGTGCCACAGCGTCCGCCTCGCGCCTTGCCCACATGGACCGAAGGTAAACGGCTCTTGCTCTTCTCTTCCTAAGCTCCTAGCATATCTGACATTACTTTCCGTGGAAGCACTAGCAAGAACTGGCCAACCTGCTCGCCGGTCGTATTTGGCTTATAAGTCATGGCTTAAGAACAATATTTTTTTTTCACACTAAATCAGCCAACGGTGCTTTTAGCCATGGCTTATAAATCAAACCGGTCCAAACGAACAGGGCGAAGATCGTTGTAGGCCCCTGGGAGGAGGCTGAAAAATCAGAGCATTAATGACTACCTTCGTTGGATCATTTTGTAGATTCTTTTTCGTTTTTTTGGTAGATTATGTGGACTGCAGATTTAGAATATCTGATGCAGCAAAGGGGGCGAGAACTGTCATTGCGGAAGTAGTGTTCATGTATCGTATGCATTCGTTGCTGTTTGGCAAAGTTGAAAATTGACGATGATCAACACGGATTGAAGTATAAAAGCTTCATTCGCTGCCAAGCTCAATGGTACCGAAGTGAACTACTGATGTAGCGTAACTCGCAAAGGTCTGACGTTCTTTCATTACTTGGTTGATGAATAGCCTTCCATGTTAACGTTTGAGAAGACATTTATTGACGTATATGCAACCTAAGGAGTCAGGATCCTTTTCCCGATTTCAGTTTGTGGGGGTCAATAATTTTCAGGCCAATCATATGTTGCCTTTGCTCATGCTGTTGATTCTCACACCGGGTCTGTGCTTCCAGCAACTTTTACTCGACTGCTGGATTAGGATGTTTGCAAGTCAGACGCAGCGTAGGAGGGGTTTTGGTCCTTTTTTTCTTTATAACAACAGGGACTCTTGTTTGTCTTGTATTTGTTGAGCTGCAATTGTTGCAGTTACCTTTTGTGGGTTCCTTGTAAATCTAAACTGCAGTGGGTAATGACTAATGGTAGGTTAGGTATCTCAATCATGGCCTGACCGTCAAAAGCTGGTGTTATAAAACTGTCTGTTTGGTTGGGCACGTCTTGGTGGTGCTGCTTGTCAAATTGTTTGCTTGCTTGCTTGTTGATGCTGCCACCTGAAAGTTTTGCTGGCACTGCATTAGAGTGAGCCTTCCATCAATTATTGCCTAATTGTGACGAATCAGCACTGCATATGGGTGTAGAGCATAGTCCGTTTTCTGGGTTTGGTCGGCATGCTCAAACAGAATAATGATTTCTTGTTCCAAAAAAAAAACAGAATAATGATTTCTTTGCGAGGAGCACAGCATGATGTACTCCTATTCTGGAAGATGTTTGCCGGCGCCACCTCACCATCCTTCCCAAATGCTCTGTCTTGTTGCATCATGCTGCGTAGTTGCCTGCCCTAGAACATGCCGTGGTAGGCGCAAAATGGTGCATGGCGACATGTGTGAGTGAGAGCATGAGACACTGGTGATGGTATAAGCATGACAGTGCTCATGATTTTCTTGCTGCTGTGTCCAGTGGCCTGGCCACATGATGGTGGGTGTGATGAGGGGTTGCGTGGGAGAGTTTTGCAAGCAAGATTGTAACGGTTCGCAGGGAGCGTCAGAGTGGCCTGTGACTGTGAGAAATGCTATGCAGAATCTGTCATCAGACTGTACAAGACGGGACTGAGAGACGTGACAGTCCAGTCGCATCTCCAGGGTCACCTCGTATCAGGATGATCATGTCGTCTACATATTGCAATACTGGACAGGAGCCTTCATATTGTCATCTGCTTTGATCAGTCTTTGAAGAACATCAGCCACGAGCAGGAACAAGTAAGGAGATAGTGCGTCTCCCTGGAGAAGTCCTCGGCGGCAACGTTTCCATGGGCCAGGGATCCCATTGACCATGACCGCCGAGCGCGAGCTTGCCAGCAGCTGCTGCATGCCTGCATCCAGCTACGCCATAGCCTGGGGAAGCCACGGGCCTGGAGGACTGCGTCCAGACTCTCCCAATTGACAGAGTCAAACGCTTTTGCAAAGTCCAGCTTGATGACGAGTGCGGGGGCCTTACTCTTGTAGCAGCATTGAACCAGCTCCGTTGCATATCAGACTGTACAAGACGGGACTGATAGTTTTAAGACCTTGTATGGATTGATGCTTAGGGACATACTAGTATAAGCTTCTGGGTTGTCCGTCGATTAGCCGGTACCACCTCCGTCCAACAAAGAATATAATTTTAACATACAGTGTCACGTTTGAATATCTTAGGTTTAACCAATTATAGATAAAAAAATAATCAATATTTATGTTATCAAATAAATACCATTAGATTGATTATGAAATGTATTTTCATAATAAATTAATTTGAAATCATAAATATGAATACTATTGACTATAAACTTAATCAAACATGAACTATTTTTACTGACACGTAACCATACGTTCTTTTTTTAGACGGAGTGAGTATAAAGTATTTCTTTGACAGTCAGGTCACTGGTGATATGATGCTGCCTTGACATTGCTGTGATTTGGTAACTGATCGCGATGCGTTAGGCTGGACGTGGACGTCCCTGTCCTTGAACAGGTAGAGTTAGTTTTTATTAGTCACTCTCACTGTCTCACAGCCTCACTCGCCCACTCTCTAAACGCAGCGAGCAATCTCTCTCTGCTTTTTTTCTCTCGCCTTTTGCTTTGCTTTCCTATATGCTGCAAAGGCGCACCGTTAAAAAAAGGAAGAAAGAAAGCGTGGTTTTTGATAAGGAACAAAGAGCGCTTTGAGAGCAGAGAGGCCGGGGCCCTTTTCTCGGTATACTGCTGCTTTATACCTCTCCATGTACGCATCAAATAAAAGCCACTCCGGCGACCGATCGGGACTGTTCCGCGTTAAGTTTGCAAGCACGACACAGGCCGTTTTTTTTTTCTTTACCGTGATGATGCCCTGACGTGAGAAGCTGCACCTGCACTGCACGGGCGCGGCTGGCACTGGGGGACTGGCCGCTACTGGTAGGCAGGGGAGGTGAAACTAGAAGCTGAAAGCCTGAAAGGCAAGGGCCGGGTGCCGAATCGGATTCTGATTCTGACTGGGCAAAGAAGAGGGAGTTCCACTACCACTAGCAGGATTCGTCCCCCCCTTCTGCTTCCGCTTTCGCCCACCCATCAGCCGCAAAAAAAGCCGCTTTTGCTACTACTCGGCGAATTCGAAAAGATACAGTGGATAGCACTGCGTGGTTCGAAAAGTTTATTTTGAAAAAGAAAAATGAGCAAGGACGTAATAAGGTACTAGTAGTTAGCAGATAGCAAGTGGGTAATCCGATATACTACGTCCGGTGAGCAATCGGCTTCGGATGTGAATGTGAGGCTCCTGCGATTTGGTTCGTAATAATAAATCTCTGCAAGACAGAGGCTGCTTAATTGCTGGAACGAATCGCAACCTGGGCCTTGTTTAGCGAGTTTTTTTGGTTCGTAATAATAATTTCTCTGCAAGATGGAGCATTAGAGGCTAACTAATTAATTGCGAGATGAATCTTTTGAGCTTGGTTCGCAACCTGAAATCAATTCCAATCCAAAAGCATTCCAATCCAACTCGGAGCCCACCCACCGTGTGTCCCTCCTCAAACCTGCCTGCACATGAATGCAACAATGGATGGGAACTCGCAGTCGTATGTATGTATATTATGCAGAGTAAGTACCGTTAGTTTCGGGCTCGGCTAACCGAGAGAGATCTCGCAACTAATAACGCACCCTGCTGTGCGTCATCAAGTCTCCTAATCCTAACCACAGCCAATAATATATACAACATGTCTACATCCTGATTAGTACTACTCACGGCTCTGCACAAGTCAGCGGTAATCCTCAGTAGTCAGTCCTCACTTCACCTAACGAGTCTAGGACTACGAGAGAGCGAGAGGTAGAATACACATGAGACACGTTGCAGGCGCAAGCAAAAAGACCCCTCGAAACTTCACTGGGACTTCTTTCTTTCTTCTTTCTTCGCGCACACTCTGTCTCCCCTAGTAGCCTATTAATTGACCCATAATAACTCCCACTTGACTCACCTTCACAAACCAGCACCGTCCTCCTCTGCTCTTCCCTTCCCCTTCCTCCTCGCCCCCCTCTCCATCCAATTCCATTCCACTCCACCTTCACAATCCAACTCGATCCCAATTCCCAAGAACCACAGCTCACCCACTCACCACCCCCATCCACCACCACCACCTCCTCCGCCACAACCATCAGCCATGAGCAAGGACTGCGGCAACCACGGCGACGACGACCTCCGGCGCTCCTGCCGCCGCCTGCTGGCCATCCTACTCGTCCTCGTCCTCCTCGTCGCCATCATCGCTCTCATCATCTACCTGGTCCTCCGCCCCACCCACCCGCGCTTCTTCCTGCAAGACGCGTCCCTCCGCCAGCTCGACCTCTCCAACGGCACCTCCTCCTCCGTCCTCTCCACCGCGCTCCAGGTCACGGTCGCCTCCCGCAACCCGAACGACAAGGTCGGGGTCTACTACGACCGCCTGGACGTGTACGCGTCGTACAAGTACCAGCAGATCACGGTGGCGGCGTCGCTCCCGGCCGTGTACCAGGGCCACGGCGACGTCGACGTCTGGTCGCCCGTCCTGTCCGGCCCCGACGTCCCCTTCGCGCCTTACCTCGCCGACGCGCTCCGCCAGGACTGCCAGGCCGGGTACCTCATTCTGCAGGTCAAGATCGACGGCCGCGTCCGGTGGAAGGTCGGCAGCTGGATCTCCGGCCACTACCACCTGTTTGTGACCTGCCCGGCGTTCCTTGTCACTACCGGTGGGAACGGCGCGCCCGGGGCGAGTGGGTTCAAGTTCCAGACCACCACTTACTGCCGCGTCGAGGTCTAGGCTGCCAGCCTCAGGTGAGGTGAGGTGAGGTGAGGTCCGTCCGTCGTTGGTCGTCGTCGTCCGGTCCCTTGTCTGTGCTGCTGTGTTGTCCATACTCCGTAGCAAGGAGCAAGAAAGAAGAAACAGAGGCGCCGCCCGCCTCCAAAGGAAGCAAAGATCTTGGCTGGCGGTCGACATGGCCGGCCATGGGCCATGGCTGCTTGCTGCTGGTAATAACTCTCTCTGTCCGCTGCTGCTAGTGTTACTGCTGCAGTGATGCGGATGTAAAGGAGGGTAATTTCGTTTTTTCTTTTCTTTTCTTTTCGTCCTGTTTCGGTAGGGTTGATTAATACTCCTATAGTAACTATAATTACTACGGTCATATATGCTGTCTCCATCGTCTCATTAGCTGGTTGCTGCTGTTTGACTGTTGTTAAAAGGCAGCTTAATTGTGAATAAACCTATTTTTGGAGGATCAACCACAATTAAAGGGGAGAACTAAAGTGGTGTTTTGGTTTCACTCCTAAACTTTAGTCGCTGTGCTATTTAATGTTTAGACACAGGAGTATTAAATATAAACTATTTACGAAACTAAAAGCACGGATTGAGACTGATTTGTGAGAAGATTTTTTTAAGCTAAATTAGTCCATGATTTGACAGTGTGGTGCTACGGTAAACATATGCTAATAACGGATTAATTAGACTTAATAAATTTGTCTAGTGGATTATTGACGGATTCTATAATTGGTTTTTTTATTAGTATTCGAACACCCATGCGATGTCCTCCTATAACACTACCTAAACTTTAGTCACCGGATCCAACACCCCGTAAGTTATACAGCGGTCGTTTTGGTGAGGTTGCTTTATTTGCATTTCTCCCTCACTCTCTCTTTGGTGGATTTTTTTTTTGTTTGAAAAAAAAGCTGTTCTTCTCTCCTTCCTTTTAAAGATAGAGAAAAGGGATCAAGTTGTATGGTTGCCCCCCTCTTTATCTCGGAGCCAAATCATCTCTGGTGAATCGATCTCTAGTACTAGTAGTTTCATTTTTTTTTTAAAGGCGTAGAAGTACACTACAAATGCAAGTGCGTGATCTAGAGTTTGGAGTCTTGTTGGGGGGCTGGGGCAAGGAGTTTGGTGGCAACAACCTTACCACCAGAAGATCCGAGGCAGTCAGCTGTATCTGAGTTGAAGGCGAGATTTGGTGTGGGGAAACTGGAAACCCCAAGTACACAACACATGGGGACCCTCCTCATCTGTGATGATCCTCTCTCTAGTGCCAAAGCGGTGGTTGATCACCCAACACTCATCATTCTTCTCTCTCTGTTTCAATTCAACACACAACTGGCCAACTGGGGCCTGAGCTTCACTTCACAACTAAGGAAACCATTTTTTTTTGTGTGTGTGGGGATGGGGGGTGGGTTAGAGAAGACACCAGCAGTGAGGAGGGGGTATGTACTGGGCATGGTGGATCACATGTGGCAGCCGTTTTCCTTCTGTTTTGTACAGTAGTGCTCCTACCATAGCAGGCAGTGTGCCAGTTTGCCCGATGCATGCGCTGGCTTTCGCTTGTGGAAGCATGGCAACGACTCGTACTATTAAGGTCTTGTTTAGGTGCTGCTGGAATCATCGATGTTGCTAGTGGCAACCAAAAGCGTGTAATTTATAATCAAAGTGTAATTAGTTATTTTTTTATCTACATTTAATACTCCATGCATGTGTTCAAAGATTTGATGTGCTGGTGGAATTTAAACCCCATGCATGCTGAATCATCGATGTTGCTAGTGGCAACGAGTGTAGGTAGCATGTCTGGTGGTCCCCATCCATCTGCAGTTGCGCAACGATAAAAGCAAACCCAATCTTTTGCAAAAAAAATCAAAAAAAGGCATTCAATCCCGCTGAGAAACTTTTGGTTGCCAACGCCATTTGCCGGGAGGTAGAAAAGGGGCGACTCTTTTCCAAAGTTGCTCGAGGCTTGACTTGAGAGGAGACCGAAAGCTTGCGTAGTGAAAGAGCAGAGAAGGCAGAGTGGGAGGAGACGCGTCAGGATCCCGGAGGACGCGCCATGCCGATGCCGTTGCCGTCGCCTGTGCGCTC